GTGGGGGAGGGTCGACGACGACCGACAAAAGTAGACGGAGGTCAGTGGTGGTCGACGACGGTCGACAGTTGTAATGTTGGATTTCAACCGCTTCTCAATGCTCCATGATCTTCTTCAAGTCTCAAGCTCCTCTCCCCCCTCATGAGGAGCTCTAATTCTGTGCGGACAGCGCACGCATCTTGTGTGCACCGTCCAATCAGAATTTTTTTTTGAAAAAAATAAAAAATAAATTGGAGCCCCACTGTCATACACTTTTGATAAAATGAATTGTTTTTATTAGTTCGCCTCACACATCTCTGCATGCGGTGAACGTACATAATAATTTTTCCCTCATAAGAGTGGTCGGATTCTATTTATAGAGTCTCGAGTACAATTAATGCAGAAATATTAATCATTTTGATATAACGATCTGAAGAACTTCCTTCGATCTGACGACGTTTGATGGGTATTTGAGTGCCTTGATGATGTCTGAATTGAGCGGTCATGGGCTCAATTCCGTTATTTGGGTCTGTTTCAGCTTTGAAATAAGCTCGACCCGACTCAAAATTGAAAATAGCCGACTCAAATTGAGTTATTTGGATCTCTCTAGCTCAAAATTGGTTTGTGGCTACTTTGATTAAATTTTATTTAGCATCATATAAATATATTTTTCATAAAAAAAAATTTCACTTTGAATAAATCTTGAGCCAGTTCAAGCCGACTCATGTATCACTAAAAATCAACTCGAAAAAAATTCGATCCAAAATTTTTGCTCATAGCTCGACTCATTTATTTCAACCCGGTCTCAATCCAAGCCAAAATTTAAATCCATATTTTAACAATCAACGTTATTGGAGCTAAATTCACTGCCCTAATTAAAATTATAAATATGAAATCTTAAGAGGCAGATGTGCAAATATACAAATGTAAAATTTTCAACATAAATTATTAAAGGAATTGCAGACCATATTACCCCTGAGGAGACAACATGCATTGAATTTTGAGTCAGCGATGGGAGGCGCTAGTTTGGACCCGGTGGGCCCAACGGATTGCGGGACCCATTCGTCTCTGTGCCAAAGCCTCGGGCGGTACACGTGTGAGCCAATTGGCAGCACGCTCCCGAACCCGGCGCCTCGCGTGCCTGCACCAACGGCTCTCGAGCAGGGCTCATGGTAATTCCGTGTCCTCATAACTGATGCAATTTGCTCAAGGAAGTTTTACACAAATGCCCCTCAATTCTTCTGAATTTACATATCCAATATCTAAATTTTAATATTTGCATTTATAACTCTGGTGTGTGATGAACTTTGCATGATTAAATTTGTAAATATACAAGAATTTTGTGGTATGTATGTAAATGACCATTTTAATTAATTAATTAATTTTAAATATTTGCATAAATGTTTGATTGATGAACTCATAAATTTCAATAGTTAGATGTTTCATTCATGATTATGAATAATATCATAAAAAGTTAATTATGAAGCTTTTTATGAATATAAATGATACCACTTGCAACAATTAGTTTGTAGCCCTGAATGCTCTTTAATACCACTTGGACCATTAAATTTATATATGCAAAATATAATTGACATTAAATATTTTCAGTCTAACATTATAAACTGACAATAAAAACACATTTGAACAAATCTTCAATGGATCTAAAGGTTTAGAGCGGAACACTCGTTGTCACTCCTGCCTTCCCGCTCCTTTCGATCGTGAAACCGTTCCCGCTCCCGCCTTCCTCTGCCGCGAACCGATCTGTTGTTTCGCTAAGAGTCGCAACCGTCTCCTCCTCTTAATTCACGAAACCAATAGGTCTTTTTTGCTTTCGGACATTTTTCTACCTTTTGCTTGAGCAGCAGGGTTAACGAAGGAAGAAGAAGAAATCTCTCCTTCAGTTTTGAAGTCACTTTTTCTGTGTTATTCTTCGGGCTTCCTTGGGATAGAGGAAGAGTAGTGCAAGTATAGTTCCTTGCGGTGAAGGAAGAAGAAAGAAGAAGAAGATGATTGTTCTCCCTTGGCTTCTTGGTAGCTTGTGGCAGAAGAGAATTTGAGTTTATTTCTGTTGTAAGTTTATCTTATTCGGTGTATCTCGATATAGAGAGAAGAAGAGAGGGCAACGAAGTGAGAGATTCCTCTTATAAGTCGAGGTGATCGACTGATGTAAATTCCTCAAGTAGTAAAATCCTCGGCAACTTCATGGACATAGACAATTTGCCGAAACATGTAAATCTGTGTGTTCCGCTATGTTACTCTTTTTCTGGTGTAAATTTTCTCGTTCTATTTTTCTCTTCGTTGATCGTTTTTCTGTTTGATTTATATATATATCACATCAACTGGTGTATATATAGTTCACAACATCAACTAGAGACGATCCGATCCTAGAATGACAACCGACTACAGGACTATCCAATAAAGATCAGACAATAAGACAATCTGTTAGAGAACCATCAATCAAATGTCACCAAGTCGCTTAGTTAGTTGGTGGTCTAGCGGTTAAAGAGGGTCAATGGTGTATTTATTTCATAATATTTATAGTATTTTGTACATAGAGGAACATTAAATGTATTTGGGGTTACTGAAACCTGTTGAATCTAATTTTGCCTTGTGAGAAATGCCCAAAAATCAGAGAAGTCGGGACATTGAAAGAGAAAAAGAAAGAGAGATGGAAGTAAAATAAATAAAATAACACACATAAATTTGCACCGTGGGAGCAAACTGAGATATCCTTAGGCTCTTTGACCTATTATATATATAGGGACTACAAGAGAATGAAAGAGATATCTTCTTATAGAAGATGAGTCTAGAGAAAAGAGTCAAAAACCCTTTTTTTTTTCTTATATGGCATCATTCCCCTACTTATAGAAAATAGAGAGACCAAGTCTAAACTTACATGTT